CCTTAGGTGCACTGTGGCTTTTATTTTTTAAAAAGAAAACCAATAAAACTGAACCAAACACTATACAGTAACCTGGGATCACATTTTCTTTGGAGAGAATAGCTAGATATTGGGGGTGGGGGCAGACTGACTTATCAAATTAACTCCAGCTTTCTTTTTATTGTACAATTTTTAAAGAATCTTTATCTCTATCATCACTTATGTCCTTAAAAATCAAATTCAAAACATGAATTAAAAAGACCTAGATTTTGGAAACCAGCAGACCTAGTTGAATCCCAGCTATATCACTTGGGCTGTTCATTTCCTACTGGTGGTTTCAGTCTTCCTGCCTCCACCAAGGGAAGGCCATTGGAAGAAGTGACGGTGTCTATAGAGGGCCAGCATAATGTCTGGGCCCAGGAAAGGGCTTTTGAATGTCAGCTGACAGTGATGGACAGGTTCACTGGGAGCCGCACAGCTTGGACTGCTCATCCTTTGGGACCTTGTTTCCCTGGGAATCCTGCCAGGACTTTGGGTCACATGAGACTGACCCTGGGAGGGGTGACCCTGGTGCTGCCGGGCCAGCACTCCAGCCAGCATGATGGCATCACAGGGCATAAGAAGCACATTGTGTTCTGTGACCTTGAGGGAGGTAGTTGGAGGTTGGGGACATGGTGTTTGCCGCAGTCTGGCTGGGCACAAAATAACCGAGCCGCCACGAGGCACTTGTAGGTTCAAAACAGGAACTCCTTTTTTGCGCGAACTCTCACGAACGCCAACCACGCGGGCCCTTCCAGGAACCACCAACCGGAAATCCCTCCTCCGGCACTTCCCCAACCAAAGCTGAACTCTCCAGGAATACCCGCGAAGTAGCACGAGAACTCCAAAGTGGACAGCAGGGGTCTAATATACAATTGAATACACAGCTTAACATAACCATCCTCATCTCAATGACTCCCTGGCGTCACCTCTCAACCACTCCTTCTGGCAAAAATGCCATGTGTCATTCCGTCATTCTGTGGCTCTCAGCAGGTGTTGACATTGTAATGACATCTAAAATAACAAGCCCCTTGAGCTGTCCACGGGGTGCAGGAGAACCTCTTCTATGCACTCTGCTGGCTATTGTGACCGGCCAGGGGCGAGATGAGTCCCTGGTGATCATTTCTTGCGTGAAGATGTGGAGCTGCTGGCTGTCTTGTCTGTACAACGAGGCTGATAAACTAGTCCTGAAGACCACAGGTGGTTGGGGAAGGTGAGCCTCCAGGCACTGTGCTCAGTGGTGCTCAGTAGAAGTGGATTCTCCTTCTCATCCAACTCCACTGAGATGAGATTTTAGATGGATTCCCTTGATGCAGGCTACTGAGCAACCCCCTAGCAGCCATCTTGAACCTAAGCTGGGTTCAAACTGCCTAGGCCTGTGTGCACCGGGATTCCCTTTGAGCTTCTCTGCTACTTAGGTCCACATCTGTGCACTCTCACCCAGGGCACCTTCCTCCCAACCTGGGCAACCCTTCTCCCCATGTCGCACTCCTTCCCTAATTCCCTGTAATGTGTAGGTCCAAGCCCATCTCTCTGGAGGGCAAGAAGTGCCTGTTCCTTTGGCTTCCCAGCACGTAACTGGAGGTCTGCAGAAAGCAGACCTTCATAAAGTGCTTCCCTGGACCCTCACGTCCTCTCTAACTCCAGGAAAGGGCTTTTAAAAACCGCCCCCCCACTCCCTACCACCAGTCTTACCATTTTTGCCCCCTCTTGCTTGACACCTTTTGAAAGCAAGGTGATACAGGGTTCCTAACTGCCTGGCCTTCCCAGCAGGGGCCTGCTCTGTGTCAGCCTGACTGGCCTCTGGTCTCCTTCCACCTTCGCCTGCTTGCCTTTGCTTCTCTTCTGATTCCTGGTGATGGAATCTGCGTTGGACAGAACAGGATTCTGGAAATGGCAGTCCCCAGCTGCAGCCCCAGCTGAGTGCCCATGAAGTATCCCACCGTGACTCCCATCACACCCATGGTTGTAGTTCTGGTGAAGGTGACTCATCTTCACGGATTGGTTCCACTGCTCCCTCCCCCTCTCCCAGGCCTCCTTTCATGAAGCTTTGTCTTCCCCCCTCTGAAAAATATCACAGATATTTTTCTGTGAGCAGAGAAGTTCCTATAAGCTTTGGTGTCCTCACCATCTCTTCTCTGTACCTTTTGGAAATTCAAGGTGTGTCTTACTGACTTCTTCCTGAAGGTCCATGAATCAAGAACCTCTAGCCTCCCCCACTTTGTCTAGGGGACTCTGATCATGGCAGACACCACCATACTCCAACAGCAGCCTCGATTCTGGCCAGTGCCTTTTCCTTTACAAGAGCCTGTCATTGGAATCTCTGGGATAATTCCTTGCACAAAATCCATGGATTTTCTCTTGACCTGGTGTCTCTCATCACCCCACCTACTGACTGCTGGCTTCCTTGCTCGACAAGGTTTCTATTTAAAAGATCTCCCTTTCTCCTAGGTAACAAAAGCATCTTGGCATATGGGAACTCTGGAGACCTGCCACTGCATGGAGTTTCAGCCATACACCTGGTCCCCCAGGTGAGCAGGAAAGAGGACCTTGGGCAATCACGTTCCCTTTTCAATATCTCAGTTTGGTTGTGTACTGGGTTGAATGGTATCTCTTCAGAAGTTTATGACCACCCAGAGTCTTGAGAGGTGACCTTCTGTGGTTCCACTCTTTATGGCCTCTGAAGGAGATCTTAAGACAAATCATAGCTTTGGGGAAACTCCCTAACTTTTTAAGGTAATTTTTAATTTGGCCTTTACCTCAGAATTCTATTGTGACTCTTTTTTTGGGGGGAGGGGGGAGTAACCAGGGATTGAACTCAGGGGCACTCGATCATTGAACCACACCCCAGCCCTATTTTGTACTTTATTTAGAGACAGGGTCTCACTGAGTTGCTTAGCACCTCACTTTTGCTGAGGCTGGTTTTGAACTTACAATCCTCCTGCCTCAGCCTCCCGAGCTGCTGGGATTATAGAAGTGTACCACCATGCCCGGCCATTGCGACTCTAAATCAAGACACCGTATGATGAAGTTTGGGAGTATCTCTTCACTGGGGATTTAAAAAATGAAACAGCAAGGCAGCCTGCGATTTGATAGCTTTATTGGAACATGATGGTAACACAGAATGCTAACTCAGGTCCACCACATATGCTGCCTCTGGGCAGCAGGTACCCCACTTTGCAGCCAGCGGAGTCTCCAGGAGGTCCCCAAAGGGGCCAGGACAGCCCAGATGCAGGCTGGAAGGAGTCCTCTGCAGTGGCAGGTGGCTAATGGGCTCCTGGGGTGGAGCCCCAACCGGCCGTGCCTGTGATCAGGCTGCAGTTTGCTTGCACTGTAGATCTTATGCCTCAAAATACTTGGCATGACTTGGAGACCCAGCTGTCTCAGACTCCTGGGGGAATTTCCAAAAGAGGGGTTTCTGGGACTTCCAGAAGAAACAGCCCAGAAATTAAGCATCTCTGGGGCTTACCAGGACAAACCAAGTCTCTTGAGTTTATTGGCAGGTAGGCCATTGACCACACTCTGCACTTTTCATGTTCTCTGCTCGCCAATCTAACAAACATTCATGAAGCTCCTACTGTGTGCCAAACACTCTTCTAGGGGCTAGACAGACAACTGTCACCAGAACTCATGAGCAGGGGAGGCAGATGATGTTCCAGGAGTCAGCCAAGTGGCAGTATCGTTACCGCCATGCCAGTGAAGAGACAAGGAAGACTTCCTCAAGGAAGGGCAGTTGTGCCTGAGATCTGCAGGAAGTCAACTGACCCAAGGGCAAGAGCATGTCGTCATGGAAACAGCACTGAGCATGCCTGGCTGCCAGAAAGAGCAGTGAGATACAGAAACCAGGAGGCAAAGGCCGGGCCGAGGACAGGAGGGAGGGCTGGGCATGCGGGGCATATACAGCACCTGTGGGCCATCAGCTTTGGCCACCATGTGTGGAGAGGGGCTGGAGGAAGGGGGTGGGGACATGGAGAGAGGCATCAGAAGCTGTTCCATTTGTCCTACTGGAGACAGGGCCCTGGGCTGAGTGACAGCAGGGCAGACAGAATCAGCTGGAGGGTGGGCCCCGTGGGGCCTAGGACCAGAGAGCTTGGACACTGAAAGCAGGCAAACGAGGCCTCCTCAGCTATGGAAGCCCCAGTGGGGTTTTTGCATGAGAAGTGGAACCTGGGGGAGCAGGTACAGGGACACCGTGCAGTGTGGTTACAGACACTCAGAGGTGGGGTGTCTTGGGAACATCCCGCTGGAGGGGGCACATAGGCAGAGGGGTCACAGCCCCGAGGAGCCTGGCTACACCTGGGATCTGTGTGAAGGCTCCTGGTGCCTCGTAGCTGAGGCCTTGGGTGTAGGTGAAGTCACGGAGGGAGACACCCTGAGTGAGGGGAGGGTGCTGGACAGAGCGATAGAGAATGGCTGCCGCTCACTCGTGGCTGGACAGTGATGAGCTCAGAGAGGACTGAAAAGTCCTGGGTGGACAGTGAGGGAGGGAACCAGACAGGGTCTTGGAAGCCTAGGAAGGGTGTCGTGGAGGGGCAGGGCCAGTAAAGAGAGATGTTGCTGAGAAGTCTGCCCACACTCTCATGCCCCTGGGGCTCTCACCTCCCCGTCTCCAGGGGTCTCTCCCACAACCCTACAGATAGGGAGGAGGAACTTGCCCCCTTGAACAGAGGAGTAAAGAGCTGCTCAGGGGGGTCAGGAGATGTGTCCAAAGAAACACAGCCAGCGAAAGGCACCCCTGGGCCAGCACCACCTTGATCACTTCTACCAGTCAGCACACGGTGCCCGGGAAGTCCATGCACACCAACAAGCAGCAGAGAGGGTCGGACTTTTAGCCCAAAAGGATCCCAAGGCTCCAGGGCTCTAGGCTTTGCCAGGAGAGGGTAGGCTGAGGCAAGGAAATTGCTTCACCTCTTTACTACAGTGCAGTGCAGGGTCGAGAGCATGGCTTTCCACCCATCCACCCACCCATCCACCCATCCACCCACCCATCCACCCATCCACCCACCCATCCATTCCAAAATCTGTTGAGTGCCTCTTCCAGTCTGGCTGAGTGGCCCCAGGGGGGCCCTGTAGTTTTCTGACTCTCAGTTTCTACCTCAGTGAGGTTAGGATGGTGACCCTTTCCCTGAGGACATGCTAAAGGGTTACGAAAGCTCACACAGGTGAGGTAAGGTGCCTGCACATAGTAGGTGCTCATGGAAGACAGTCCCCTCTCCTTCCCCCTCCTCCATTCCCTTTGTCCTGCTGATCCATGAGAGGGCGAAAGGCCTGTTTATGCAGCACCCTCTGCCCTGCTTAGAGGACAAGCGGGTTCCCACACATACGTGTTCAGGCTCCCGCATGCACACACCTCTGTACGTCCCACTGTCTTCACTCATGACACTTAGGGCCAGCACCAACGTGTGCTCTGAACCCCTGGATTCAGCCCAGAGGAGTCCTGAGCACGAGGGTGGGGTGCCGAGCACAGAGCCAATGTCTAGCCCGCGTCTAGGCACCATGGCACCCACTGTGTGTGCTGGGAGCCCCCAGTTCTCCGTGGCTTTGGAGGCTGGGTCCTCGGGGGCTCCAGAGGTCAAACTTGGGTGAGCAGAATCTTCAGGGTCCTGGAGCAGGGTTTAGACAGCCTCCTGGGACAGTGTCGTCGGGGTGTCCTCAGGCAGTGGCTCCCCCGACAGCTCCTCTGAGGGGCATCGCTGCTGCCTGTGGAGGAACCGAAGCCCCCACAGGCTCTTGCAGCAGTTCAGGAGGCTGTTGGCACACGTGGTGCAGGACAGCGCCGGCTTCCTGAGGAGACATAAGCACAGGTCGGAGCTGCTCTGCTTTGTTACTATTGAGCTGGTCTTTGGGAAGGGGTGAAGGGCAGGACGGGGACCCCTCTTCGCTGCCCAGGGCGGCACAGGCAACATATGCTTTTTTCCTCCACATATGAGGTGACTTGTTCCAAACCCCAGCTCTGTTTCTAATATGCTGGACACCTTAGTCAAGTTTCTTAGCTTCTCTGAACTTCAAGTGGATGTAAATAGTCAACCTTCTCAACTCTCTTTCTCTGTTTTTTTTTGGTACTGGGTACTGGGGATTGAACCCAGGGTGCTTAACCATTGAGCCGCATCCCTAGTCCTTTTTCAGGGTCTCACTAAGTTGCTTAGGGCTTCACTAGTTGCTGAGTCTGGCTTTGAACTTGAGACTCTTCTGCCTCAGCCTCTCAAGCAACACTTTTTCCCCCTCCTTTTTTCAGTACTGGGGATTGAACCCAGGAAATCTTTACCACTGAACTACATCTCCACAACCCTTTTTATTGTTTGTTTGTTTGTTTTGAGGCAGGGTCTCACTAAGTTGCTCAGGGTTTCACTAAGTTGCTAAGACTGGCCTCAAACTTGTGATCCTCCTGCCTCAGCCTCCCCAGGCTCTGGGATTACAGGTGGGTGCCATCATGCCCAGCAATCTCCCCAATTCTTGAAGGAATTTGGTGTCGTAAAATATGTATAAAAGTACACACAGGTTGGCTCACAGTAGGAGCTCAGTTAAGGTTTGCTATTTTTGAGTCTGCTCTTTTTCCAGTGCCATGGATGAAACTCAGGGTCTCTTACATGCTAACAAGTGCTCTCCCACTGGGCCACTCTCCAACTCTGATTCCAAGTCTCAATGAAAGGGTTCCTGGGCCTCTGCAACTTGTTTTGTATGCACTGGGAAGGTGGCATTAATACCAGCTGTGAGCACTCAGGCCACCAGAGGACTCCAGCACCTTTTCCTTTCAGACAGAGACAGGGAGCTCTGTGCTTCCCTTGGAGTCTATGAGAAGGTGGCTGTGGACTTGGAGGCCTGACTGTAGGCTCGGAGCAAGGACACAGCCAGCCCCACCCTGCCTTCTTTGTGTGGCTGGAAGCTCCCGTGGCCTGGGCTCTCCCTGCCGGCCCAGCCCCAGGATGCCCTTCCTGCCTGGACCTGAATGTCACACCTCTGGCATTTTGGGAGCACCCTTTTCTGTGTTAGCAGTATACAGGTCTGAGCAGGCAGGCAGGAATCTGCCCTTAGACTCACATTCCAGTGGGGCCATGGCTTTGGGGAAATCACTCTCACAGAAATTAGTAGAGTTGTCAAAGAAAAGCCTCCTAGAGGCTGGGAAATAGCCACCTCTTCTAGCAGCTCAAGAGTTGCTTGAGAGAACACAGCCTTAGAAATACCCCACTCTCACAGTAAAATGTCAGAACACAGAGAAGGATAGAAAGAAGAAAGCCAGGATTGGCTCCTCCAATCCCACGTCTTTTGTTACACGGCGATTCAGTCATCAGGTATTCTTAAATGAGACAACTTGTCATCCAGAGACTCTATAAAGCACATGTACGTGGTTTAAAGAATATTAAAATACTCCAGTGGACCACTGTGCAGGGTGAGAAACGGAACGTCACCAGCACCTGACCTGCTCTAGCACACGCGTCTGCATCCCTAGACAACATATTGGGCTATTCTGCCAGCCCAGTGCTATCGTGATATGGGAATTTTTTTCCTGCAGCTAACTTTCTGTTCTTGTTCAACATGATATTTTTCAGATTAAACGGGAGCACCCACTGTTGATTCTCAGTGCTTGGGTCCATGGTATGAATGCATTTCAACTGGTCCATCCATTCATCTCCTGATGACCACCCAGACTGTTCCCAGTCTTGACCATTTCAACAATACTGCCCGGCGCGCCCTGGACCTTGGTCCTGATGCACGCTTTCCAGTTCCTCCTGTGATGCCTGGCATCGAGGCTCATGGAAGTTGGCCAAATTGCTCTCCAGAGGCGCAGGACCCTTCCCGTCCCACAGGTCCCACAGCCGTGCAGCGGCTCTGGGTGACATCCTCACCAGCACGGGATCCTGTCAAGCTCAGACCTTGTTGATCTGGTGAGTGTGAAATGGAGCCCTCTTTTTAAATTCATGCTTCTCTGATTACTGAAGAGGCTGCTCAGGTCTCTGCCCAGGCCCTCACCCCCACTGCCTCCCTCTTCTTCCCATCTCTCCTCTCCTCCCCTCCTCCCTCTCCGGGTCTGCCTGTCACAGAGCTCTTTATTTATGTCTGAATACTAATACTTGGATTGTGTTGCAAGTCTTTACCCACTTCTGGCTTGTCTTTCGTAAAGGTTTTTATAGATCCTTTTAATAGATCCATTAGGGAGACAGATCTTATATCCATATAGAGTCTCTTTGGATGATTAATGTATTTCAATTGAAAAACATCTAATGATGGAATCAACATGTAACAAAAAGACGTGGAGTGGAGGAACAATGAGATGTTGGTCTGCTTCTTTGTTCATCTCTGTGTTCTAACATTTTACTTTGAACACGTGATTTTCCAAGACTTTATTATCTTAAGTGATTTGTCTTTTGGAAAGCAGAAATTCCTTAATTTTAATAGTCAAATTCATCTCTCGGTTGGGTTTTCACATCTTGGTTCTTATTTTAAAAATTCCTTCCTACCCCAAGGTCAGAAAGATATTCCACATTTTCTTCTAAAAGTTAAATATTTGGCTTTGATATTTAACCCATCAGCCTATCTGGAATTGACTTTGTGTATCACGTGAAACTCAGGGCTATTTTATTTTCCTACTTGCTCCCTCCAGGCTCCCAACCCCAATTTTAATATCCAAAGACCACCGGTGGATTTCCCTGCTGATTGATAATGCTAACTCAACCTTTCACTTCATGTTTATTTTCCTTTGCCATGGGCAGAGCATTGATCCCAATGTTCTTATTACTGGTCTCCAGCTCTGCAACATCTAAGATAATATCCCTCTCATTATTGTATTTCTTGTATCACTTACACTTTCAGTACGTTTTGCCAGATTTTTTTTTTTTTTATCTTTTGATATTGCTGCTCTTCGCTGGTAAATCTCAGTCTTCTGTTCCATGGGCTTCTGCTGATAATTTGCCTTCACTTTTTCCTTTACTATCTTTGAATTCTTTGAGATTTACTATCTTGGTTGTTTCTTTAACTCTCTAAATTGGATGTTTAGATCATCACATTTCAGCTTTATTTTTAAATTATAAGCATCTCAAGCTACACATTTTTCTTTAAGTATAGCTTTCGGAGGTGTACTCTAAGTTTTATGTGCAGTGTTTTTGTTGTTGCTTACCTGACAATATTTTCTAATGACCATAGGGAATCTTCTTCATCCCATGATTTACTAAGAAATGTGTCTGCAAATAAGTAAAGGTTTGTTGTTGTTTAGTTGTAGTCAGTGACTTATTATATATGCATACAGTTCTTTGAAATAGGTTGATTCTTGCTTCTTGGTCTAGTACATAGTCAACCTTTTAAGTGTTTATGCATGCTTGAGAGGAATATGGATTCTCTAGCTGTTGGAAGTAGTGTTTTATTCAATAATATTGATTTATAAGCTTTTCATTTGTGTTTTCAAAATATTACATATCCTGATTAATTTTTTTATATATTTGATCTTCAAATATTGATAGAAGTATGTTATACATTTTGTACTACAAAGATTTGTTTATTTCTTTGTAGTTTTGTCAACTTTATTTTTAGAGGAGATTATTTGGCACATACAAGTTTAGAATATTATATTTCTGGTGGATTTTGGATTATCTCTTTTGTCAAAATATGGTGGCCATTTTTATCTCTAGTAATGCTTTTTGCTTAAAGTTTACTTTGGTATTAATATAGCTACTAGATTTCTTCTGATTAATATTTGTGTGTAGTATCTAGTATACATTTTTTTATTCCTCACACTTTCAAGTTTTTATTTCCTTAAGTCTGTGCTTATTAAGATACTTGCTTGGATTTCAAAAATCAAATCTGATGATCTTGGTATTTTTTCATTGGCCAGATTATTCGGTTTACATTCAATAAAATTACTGATGCATTTTCACTTATTTCTTCTACCTGTTTTTGTGCTTTACATTTGCACCCCCTTCTACATTCCCCTCCTCTCTTTTCTTTCTTGATTAAAATTGACTTTATTCTCTTTTCTCTACATCATATGAAATATCTACCTTCTATTAAGAAAAAAAAAAAAGAAATGTTTATCCAAAGCAGCATTGTAGCAGGAGTAGTTAACCTTAAAGACCTGGAGGCAGGCAGTGCCCCCCTCTGCTGACCTTCCAGCCATGCAAGGTGAGCTGAAGGAACACAGAGCACAGCTTACCCTCACACACTTGAGAGGCGTGATCTGCATCCCCTCAGGGTCCTGTGCCCTTCTGTCCTGAGCCCTAGCCTGGGTTTGAGGGGATGCTGGAGAGCGCAGGAGAGGAGCCCTGGGTGCTGCTAGGTGCTTCCCACAGCCCCTGCACCTTTCCACCCACTTCCCCTTCTCTCAGCTGCAGCACCTGATTCTTCTGTGAGAGGCAACCTTCCCCATCTTCCCCGTGTGGGCCAGGCTAACGTGACCTCTTGCCCTTTGCCCTGGCTTCAAAGTTGCCTGTGACAGTCGGATCAGAGGGATCCATATCCCGGGCCAGACAATGAAACGTGAATCTGAAACTTCTGCATGACAGAAGGACAGCCTGGCCACCTGGTGGCTTCCTGGGGAGAGTCTGGCCCTGGGAAGCCGAGTCCAAAACTGGAGAAAAACAAATGCCTGTGACATTTGAGCTCCAGGACCCAGGCAGGCTTGCGGCCCCTCGGTCTCTTCAACTCCGAGTCGATCACCTGTCCCTCCCGTCCCACGCGTCTGTAACTAGACTTCTGCTACCTCAGCAGCGTCCAGGATATTTCCCATTAAATGTTGCTAGAATCTCACTGCACGAGGTTGTTATAACACGGCCGGCCGCCAGGGGTCAGGGCACAGC